TCAGCTGTTTTTGAGGACCCACGCCCAGATTTCATTGTCAGCTAACACATACAAAGGCAAATACTGTTAACATACACATATTTTTGTAGAATTGATTTCCAATTGGCCGTTCACTGATTGGGGCTGTATCTCTGCTTGACCCATTTTGTTACTGTGTTTACCTTATTCACTTTGAGATTTTTTTTCCTTTTATGTTTGACACACAGATTTGTTGCCTAATCTGTTTTGAGTCTTCTTAGTTTGCTCCTGATCTAGAGAGATTAAAAAGTTCCCTCCCTCTAAACACCAAATACAAAATTCCTGGATGAAAGAAAGCCTTATTTTTCTGTTTTTTTTCTTTTAAGAAAAATATTTGGACAACACATGTGAAATGTAGGACCTCTATTTTCTAGATTATAATCTAGATGAACACAGATTTAACAAAAGACAGCGAGAGTGTGTTCTGTGTCAAGCCAGTTAAAAGGAGGAATGTGAAAGAGGAGAGGAAGAGATTTACAAAGGAAACCAGGAAGAAAGGAGATTGGTCAGGGCTGGACATGGAAGTCTGACAGTGTTAGCAGAAACTAAGTAGGTCCATTCATGATTGAATTCTAGTTCCTTAATATAAACTTATGTGTGTGGTTCTTGAAAAAGTGATTGGTGTACAGGTTCTTAAGAAAGCATGGAAAGCAGAGGAAAGAAGAATTTAATAGCCCTGGGGACTGAGGAATTATTCCATATAGATCTTAAAGGTAAAGTACAGCTTTGAAGAACATTGATGGGAAAGAGGAATTCAGATACAAAACATACACTTTAAAAAAAATTACTTGATTCCAGCAAAATCCAGTTTGCCAGACCTTATTGCCTCTGAGCAGTTCCATGGATTTATGAAAAAGCAATGGAAATGTATTTAGGACTTAAGATGTGTGTATTTGTCTTCTGGACTTAGGACTCAGCCTTGAGCAATGACAGACATGGATTTAGGATTGTTTGCAGTTCAGAGCTTCCCTTTATCTCCTCTTGTAACATTTGATGTGTCTCTAGGTTCCTATTTCATCACTACCTCTTATCTGCTCCCATGGCTTCCACCTTGTATAAGCTGAGAATTTCAAAACCCCTGCCTTCTCCATCTGGTTCCAGAGACAAGAACGCAACTATCCATGAATGGGAAAGGATACTTCAAAATGCAAACCCAAGGTGCTGGGCCTAGAATATTTCTGGGAGTGGGAAGGGAGTGTGGCTTACACTAAGTCAGTAGGCACAAACCAGGACTGTTTGGAAAAACTTGTTACACTTAAATTGAATATACTCGAAATTAGACATGCACTTGGTTTACTGATGCTCTCCCTTGCCCTTTCTTGTCTGTTGTGAGGCTTGAACTCAGGGCTTGGGTGCTGTCCCTGAGCCTTTGTTTTTTGCTCAAGGCTAGTGCTCTACCCCTTGAGCTATAGCACCATTTCTGGTTTTCGAGTGGTTAAGTGGAGATGAGTCTCATGAGAACTTTTCTGCCTGGGCTGGCTTCCAGTCACGATCCTCAGATCTCAGCCTCCTGGGTAGCTAGGATTACAGGCGTGAGCTGCTGTTGCTTGGCTACTAATGCCTTTTGATTTTGTTTCATTCTTACTACTGAATTTCACTCACATCTCTCATTTTCCACTAGTGTTACTATTGTCCAGGCTGCTGACCAGATCACATGATTGTAACAGCTTCCTAATTGGTCTCCTTGTCATAGTCTTGCTTTTCTCTATGACAACAGAGATAGTTTCAAAATGCAAATTTTGAATTTGCAAACAATTGCTATTGGGGGGGGGTCCATCATTGTCCTAGGATGTGGTATCAACTTGATTTAAAATGTCCTTGAAATGTGGTCCCTGACAACCATACACCATCAATTCTCTCCATATAGCAACTTCCATCATTCTTAAATTTTGCCATTTATTGACACACCCTTTCTCCCCATTTCTTAAGTCTGGCTTGCTCTCCCATACCACTGGGCCTTGCACTGACTTCTACAAAACTCAAGTATACTTCCCTCTTATTTTATTTAACCTACATCCATTTTATCTAGTCTCTCCTTAAGTGTTACCTCCTCCAAGAAGCCTTATATGACCCTCCAATGACATCAAGTGCTGTGCTTTTCACTCCACTAACCATCGGCTCCTTTGCATCATGTGTATCCTTGCTGATGCAATGGTGTGTCTCACCTGTCAGATGCAGGCTCAGAGAGCGAGGGTGCTGCCTGTATCTTGCTGCCAACATTCCCAATCAAAGAACAGTGCTCCAAGCAAAGCTAACATTTTTTAAAGCAAATAACCAAAAACACCCTTATCAATTGAATTTTACTCTGTGCCATCTCTGTTCTGAGCCATTTACAACAGATAATTTATTTAATTCTCAATCACGAAGTAGGTACTCTTATTATTTTTTACATTATAAAAACAAAACCCAGATTAAACCATTTGCGTCAATGTCATATTGCTAAATTAGTGAAGCCAAAATGAAGACCTTTTCTGATTCTAGCAAAATCCAGTTTGCTATGCCAAGTTGCTTCTGAGCAGTTCCATGTGTTAATCAAAATGCAAACAGATTCAGAACAGTGGACAAGAGTATGAGGCAAGCTCTATATTTAGGATTAACTGTTGAGTAATGACACATAAGGATTTTGGATTTAGGATTGTTTGCAGTTGGTATTAAATCACTCAACCAAAGCCATGCAGCAAGTAAGTGACAAGGCAAAAATTCCAACCTAGTCCCCAAAGCCACATGTTTCACTGTGACACTGCCCTACCTCTCTGGTCATATGATTGGAACAGCGGAGATCTCTAAGGGAGGATGTGGAAAGAGACTAAAGATGACGTAAATCTAGTGCCATATCAGAGAAAAGATCGGAGGAGGATCTGGGCTGACTGGAAGGCTGCTTCTTCTGGTTTTGTGTTATCAGATTCCAATGGATTAGTGATAGACACAACAGAGTTGTATTGATGTGTGCATGTTATTTGTAGTTATGTATGCTTATTTGTGTTAATGACATCTAAATAATCACAATTATGTAAAAACTTTCTGTTTGCAGGCATTATTGTAGATGGTTTCTTTGAAATGTTTTTCAGGGAGGGGTGCAGTCCTGGGACTTGACCTCAGGGTCTGGATGTTACCCCTGAGGTCGCTTTATTTTCTTTTGCTTCTTCTTTTCCCCTTTCTTTCTTTCTTTCTTTCTTTCTTTCTTTCTTTCTTTCTTTCTTTCTTTCTTTCTTTCTTTCTTTCTTTCTTTCTTTCTTTCTTTCCTTCCTTCCT